TTTTTTTTTTTTTTTCGCAATTACTGGGCATGGTTTACCGTTGTATTTTAGCCTTTACGAGGTCATTCGACTGATGAGACCGCCGTGGCTTGAACTCTTTGGTGCATCTGTCCGCAAATGAAAAAATGTGACATGCAAGGCACAGAGCCATCCTGGATGGCTATGGTGGAGTCCTTTTTTAAAAACTTTTTTTCCTCTGTGGGTCGGATACAGGTTGTGGGTATTTGCATTTGCCGGGCACGTTTGCACTCGGACCATCGAAGGTTCGATCGCAATATCATACCACTTGTAAGATTGCAAAATGCAGGCCTGGGAGGGCTGGTAATGAGGTGTCATGTATCTTGGTAAGGAGCACATGCATCTCAACGTTCCGGTCATCCAGTGGCTTGAGTGTGGCTTTTTTTTAGAAGAGGCTAGATTCGCAGATTACACGGTTCGGTCTTCTGCTGAGTTATTTTGGTAAGCTATGTGTCCGCTGGACTTAGGATGTTTACTAGCTACATGTAATAAAAATCGAATCACAATTGCCATCGCCAATTGTAAAGTTACTACTCTGTGAATGCGGTTAGGAAGTCAAAGTTGATGGGACGAGAACACCCAACATTCGCATCACCCAGCCACCTCGTATGATCCTATCCTCTTAATATGCCCCATATATCTGTCCGTTGAATTGCGCAAGTCATCCCATTCTCGTATTCCCGCTTCTCCAGGGTCGTGGGCACGGTACCGTCCGAGCACGATAGAAAGGAAGGGAAGAGACTAGCAAGCATTAGTCCCCATCCATATCCATGGTCTCGGCCCTCTTTTATTCCCTCGATCATGCAAATTATGCAAATTTCAATCACATAGAAACATTGTTTCTAGTCCGGAAACGAAACGAATAGGGAAAAATTGTATGCGACCAATGCTGAGTGGTTCTTTTTGTTTCCTCTTTCGTGTCAACCACGTTGTCTTGCCGGCAGAAATGCATGTTAGTGGCACGCTATATTATGGGGATACTATTGCATGAGCTAAAACGAAATGCTAAAGGGAAAAAAAAAAAAAAAACCCTCTTTCTTCCTGTGGGGACGGCGTTTACGGCCCAGTAGGAGGAAACGGAAAATCATTTTCCTATTCGATAAGGTTGTTTCGAGAGCTTTGTTGGTTGGCTTTTGATTTCTGCTAAGGCTTGTGCAGTGCGACGAGACGAAGAAAGATACGCGGCCATTCTTTGCAAGAATCCACCATCTCGTTTAAAATCAAAGAGAGGTTGCATAGCGAGCGTATCAATGCTGTAGATGTAATCGGCCTTGTGATATTTGCAGGTTTCTTTGGCTTTCCTTTTCTCAATTTATAGGCCGTGAATGGCAGGCCGGTAGGGAAAACAATGACCTTCTTTCAATTGTCAATTCATGTACCGTAGTTCATACACCCATGTCTAATTACGGCTTGGACGATGGGAATTATCGTTAAAGCCATCCTTCTAGTCTCTAGCCTTCCTTTTCTCTGGATAATCAAGCTTGCAGAGCCATACCCCCAGTGGCTATCCGGCTGAGAATGTTTCTCATGCCTCGGATCGGTCCTCCGTGTTTCTTGTTTAGTGGACCCTCGTGATTGTGCCAAAAATCGAGAATTTTTGGAGGTGTGGAAACAATAAAAAAAAAAAGGTTGGCCCTGCTTTAGCTAACGTTACCCCTGGCGGCGCTGGTGTGCCATATTGGAACAGGTGGGCAGCCGAATCTGCAAGGTACGAAGCTGGGAAGCAACAACGTGGTATTGAGTGGCTGGCTCCAGCGCTATACCGTTCCTTACCTAGGTCTCCATTCTAGAAGAACCCAACAGTTTTTCTAAAACCTCTTGAATGGCGAAGGGAGTAAAGACCCGCTATTCCTTCACGCTAAACGGCTTTGATTTTCGTGAAGAGGGTTTTTTCGGGTGCTTTAAAGTTCTAAGATCTTACGATCATGATGAGAATGGCCGCGTGGAACCCTGGATGATCGATCCTGGGGTTCCCAACGTGAGGGGAGCGCAGGTCATCGTTCGGATTGGGTCAGAGAGAGGGGGAGCTGAGGCTGGAGGCGGCTGGAGAGGTTTTGGGATCCAACCAACCGTAGTCCAACAAGCAGGTCAGGGTCCATGAGACGGGAAGAACTCCGTTTTGCATCCTCGATCTCAAGAGCTAGACCCGACCCGCTTGGCTTGTGAATGGTGGCTATCGGCTGACTGATACGAAGGGTCATCTTGGAGAAACCTTCACTTTTGCGCCCAAAAGAAAAATGTTATTCGAGTGGGTGGCACATCATTAACTCGGATTGATAACGAGAGGGAAATTTCTTTGATAATAGAGCTCATGGGGTCTAACAGGCTGCTCTGCTTATAAGGAACTGCTTTGTCCCACGATTTAGTCATCCCATTGTCGTCTTTTTTTCTATGTAACAAAGCTCTCGGTACTTCCAATTTCAAATTTTTCGAATCGAGGATTGTAATTTCTTAGATTCTACGGTAACACAGATAGCGATCAAATTGCGTTCCTGAAGGGAACCTAGAAGAGTCGATATCGGGATCCACCAGAGAGGATCATTTGATAGGTCGCCTGGTTGAGCTGCGACACAAGATTACACAAAGGGGGAATCGGACCACAAAGGATCGAATCATCTTTGACAGGTTGGTAGACAATGTTACACCCCGAACTGCGATGGACAAACTACACTCCCCAATGGATGTAGGATTCTTGTCGGTCTCTCATTGCATTCTCCCCCCCTTTTTTTTTTTTGAAAGCTTGATCGCCTTATCACCTTCATGGCTTGAATATCTAGCATTGAGAGCATTTTATCCTTTCGCTAGACATCTCACTCGCAGAGTAATCCGGGGATCCAATCAAAGCAAGCAGCTGCAAACGTCAACCGTTAATTCTTCTAAATTTGATATCTGGGGACAGAAGAACCCGCGGAACCAACTTGACTGATGGGTCTTTGACAACGTCATTGGGCTTGAAGGTTCTGTTCTCCAAGCTTGTGATCCTGCACAAAACCGTCTACCCTGATTTGTCAGGTTGAACAGATTGTTTACATTGCATTGCTTACGTTTGTCTCTTTTCTTACATTCGTCCCTGGTTCCTTTTCCTGCAACGCCTGGATTGGCTTTTGGGTTTTTCTTTCTTTCCTGTTTGAAGAGCTGGTAGACAGAATCCCTTTCTTACAGGTCCAGTTTCCCAGTGTTTCTGAGAACTGAGCTGACCGGATCGAAAGACCCCGCGCGACCACGTTGTTATTCCTTGACACCCACGAGACGGAATTAACCGTTCAAACGTGGCTTTCCTTGCCTTCTTGATATTAATATTTTTTTTTTTTCTTCTGCCATCTCTCGTGACCAGACACTTTTGACGGCAGAGTAGCTGATGAATTGTGGTGGTGGGCTGCTGTTTAGCATTGTTGGAGGATTTTAGGCTGCCTTACCCCTTCGACCACTCTTGAGAAGGGGATTTCTGAAACGCCAGCGACCCCGTAAGATCATCGCAGCCTGCATGCGACTGGCCCCAATTAAAACCCTTCCAGGGCCTTGGACATTTACGCCTTCCTGATACACGCTACTGCGAGGATATTCTGATTCTCCTGCTTGGATTTCCTTTTTTTCCTTCTTGGGGTCCTCCTTGTGAAAAGAAATTTACTTGATCTCTCAAGGCCAATTTTAATAAATCGAGACATCCAAAAGGAAATTTTTATACGAAAAAGAATTTCCCGCAGGTGGACGCACGAACGAACGCCTTCTCGCTCGCCTGCAGAAAGCGATACATACTCACATACTTGCCCCAACTTTTATTAAACTACTTCCAAAAATAAACCCTCGCCCACCGCCCCTTCCAACCAAGCAACCACGTCAACCCAAGTTCAACACAATCCACTGGCAATTTAAAGAAAAAAAAGTATAGTAGTATATTCCCGACGTTGGATATACCGTAATAAAATATACTACCACCCTTCTAAAGACCGGTATATACATTACTGAATATACCACCGTACCGCTGCTTTGAAGCTTAGCGAGTACCCCTGTTCCTTCATACAGATCCTCGTTCAAACAAGGAAATTGCCTTGAAGTCCACATAATCCAACTCGAGCGGGGAATATACTTGCTTTCCCTATTCTTCGACTTGGGAACATTCTGCGACTTGCTGTTACTGGTAGGCAGCATTTTTCTCCAGTTCAAACTCTCTTCACCCCGTTGCACACCATTTGTTTTTCTTTTTCTCCCGCTCGGCCGCTCCTGTTGGTCTCTCCCTTCGCGAGGAGATAATAAAAAGGAAATCTTAAATAATAAAACTCTCGGCAAACCACGAGGGAGCCTCTGACCCACACAACCCCCTTCCCCCCCGCCCTCTCGTGCAGCATCCCAAGCAGCAGCCTGGACTCGTTCCTCGCATAAGCCTATCAACGGTGCCTGCATAAGCTTTTAGCATTCTATTCGCGGACCTCATTCCTCATTAGAAGTCCTGCCGAGACCGGCATCTTAAAATAAACAAAAGAGAGATCATCCTGGTGCATACCCTAACCAGCCCAAGTCGGAACCATGAGTGCCTCAGCTGCTGCAGACGAGTTCGCTCGAATGACCTCGGGTTCAAAAGGAGCGGGTTCCCTCCCCCATCCCGAAGACATTCTAGAAGGTAGCGATAAGAAACAATCCTATACCAAGTCAAACAGCAGCGGCAGTGTCGGAACAAACAGCGACACCGACGAGATCGACGACCTTGGTAACTCATCCGACGATTCAAAAAGAAGGTCATCAAGAAGAACCACATACATTCATAAGAAGACAAACTCCATCGCCCCTTCCATTCGCCCGGCTTCATCCATTATAGATTCAATGCCTCAATACAGACTGGCTTCCTATGGCGCGGCCAACACTGGCCCCAAGGGAGTTTTGGCTGATGCAAGAAGTTTCGAATTAGCAAAGAAGAGAGAGATGCAGGCGAGACAAAATACTACCTATGGCGCAAAGAATGGTTCGGATTCCCATAGTGCTCCCGGCATCCATGCCCGTCTTCTACAAGAAGATGAGAGAGTGCGACCATCCGTGGATGAGTTTGACGAGGATGATGACTTGATGCAACTGTGGAGGAAGAAGAGACTACAAGAACTTAAGTCTGGTTCCAACAGCTACAACCGGAAGAAGGTTTCTAGCGGCCGAAAGTACGGACGACTGGAGCACGTGGATGCGGGCGGGTACCTAGACGCCATCGAGAAGGTTACGGCGGAAACCGTTGTCGTCGTCCTAATATATGATGAGAGGGTAAGCAAACATGGACACCGGTCTTTCGCGTTCTAGGTCATAGGCTAATAGTATACAATAGTCATCTGAGTCCCAATTCGTCGAAGACTGCATGGGCACTCTTGCAAGACGCCATGTATCTACCAGGTTCATCAAGTTGCATCACAGCGAAGCAGAGATGGACCGCGAAGTCGTTCCCGCTCTCCTCGCTTACAAATCCGGTGAACTTATTGTCAATCTTCCCCGAGTCGTCGACGAAATCCCTACCGGACGAAACCTGAGCTCTGAGAGTTTGGAGACCGTCTTGAGAAAGTGAGCTTAAACACTCGTATCTATTCATTATTTGATAAATATTCTAACCGATTCTTCTAGGCACAACGCTATCACGGGGGGTTCTCCTATGTCCAGCAGTACCGGTCTGGCATCATCGGCTACTTCCCTCTATGACTGGGATGACGATTGAACGGTTGATCGATATTCTTATCTCCCCGACGGCATCTTATCATCTATGCGATGACAATCATCTACGGTTATTGCACCATTTAACGCCCAACCACTATAACGACTTTACTTTCCTGTGTAAATTTTCTATCCGTTCCCATCCACAACCCTACCGCAGCATTCTCTTGATCCTTCTTGTGACAGGTCCAACGAAGGATCGCGGCATCTAATCAGTTATACGTATCCGGGTGTTGGTACTTGTATTTTGCTTTTTTACTCTCTTTTGTGCTGCTTTTTGCTTTTTGTCCACATGCAAATCGACGGCGTTATCACGGGGACGGGCTGTTTTTTGCTTTCCTTATCGAACGGCGGGAGTTTTTTTTCTTATTTTTTCTTTATTTTCTTCCCTTTGTGTATATCTAACGACCACGATCATCTAACAAAAAAATATGGCAGGCTCTCTCTTGCTTACTACCTTTCGTTTGTCTATAATATTTATCTATAGAATTTACTATCAAGAAACTTCCCTTCCTTTGTCAAATTTCCTAAAAGTGATGATATGCGCATAGCTGGTGTTATCATCGAACCTGTAGTGATATCGAATTCTGACTCTCTGCTTGAACGATAAAATGCATTGTCGGCTTATTTCTGTTCCAATGCGATATGCTAGGATGCGTACCCTAGGTACACAAAGTTCCATCCGCTTGATTGTCAAGAATGTTGTTAATGCCACAAAATATTCTCCTATCAGAAGCGTCATGAATTGAAACGTGCGCTGCCCAACGATGGTAGTACCAAAAGCAGAGGCTCGTGCGAGATGTGCCAATGAAAATGCATCAAGCCATAGTCGTGAAACTGAGATGCACGGCAACATCAGGAAAAAACAAGAGGCCTAGGGAAGTATATTCTACTACAACATTCGATACCTTTCACGAAATCGTTTCGGTCAGAAGGAAGAAATAGACCACGCCACGTAAACCCCGAAATTGCGAAAAAAAAAAAAAAAAAAAAAAAAAAAAAGAGGCCTACTCCTCACACGGCTCGTGTTTAAAATGAAAGGGAAGCATACAGAAAATGACAGAAGATGAGGGAATGAAATGAGGGTAACCGACCAAACAGAGTCCTCGGAAGCGAGATATGCAACTTGCATGCGCGGTCCTATCTAAAGGAATACAGTTAGTTAAGATGGGATTTCAGGTCAAGGAAGCCATGGTTAGAGACCGGTTGCTCTCTGATACAAGCAGAAACCTGCAGTGGAGTAGTACGACGGATCATCTGGGTATGTGGGCTTGTGTCTTGACCCTGAAAACTGAGGCTCTGCGAGAGGAACAGCCCAAGTTGGTCCCGCACCCTCCTGTCTTATACTAGTAGCTAAATAACTGAATGGAGGTATGGCCAGCCTTCAGCTCGCCCAGCTTCCATTTTGTCTGTGTTACCCTATTTTTTCCAGACTTGACTCCACAACGCGAAAAGCGAAGGACAAAACGCAACATCTATTCCTTTCGTGTGGCAGTAAGAAATATACCGTCTACAACTTCTCCAAAAAACAAGGCGAATAGAAAAGAACGGCACTTCGCATCGGAAAAAGAGTATCCTCCGCAAAGAAACCAAATTTGGTTACCATCCTTCTTTGGGTCATCATGTGGCACACTTTTCGACTATTGGTGTAGCCTATACGCATGGTCTAACAAGAGGAGGCTCATATTTATACGCCAACACTTGATATAAAAAAAGTACAACACTAGGTGATATCCGAGAGGGAAAGAAGGCTTCAAGGCTTTAACCACCCCTCCGTCGTCTAGATTTGCAAAATTGCCTGAATATCCTCCCCCTCGCATCCTTGAACAATGTTCTTGTGACCCCTCCTAGTCGTCCTATTTGCTCGGCTGCGACGGAGACTAATGCAATCGAAACTCTGGTTTTCTCTGCAGGAGTAAGAATGTATACCTTGACTCCAACATATAGTATATCTTGCGTACCCTTTTATGTTTATGCATGCAAGCTGCTCCTCCATGCATGAGGAATTCCAGTGCGAAAGGAAAAACCGGTCGCAACTTTTTTTTTCAAGTCCATAGACGTCTACCAAGCGCAGATAGAAGCAAGCTTGAGTATGCGTGAAGTACGTAATGCCGCATTCGAAAGAAACGCGAAAAAGATACTATCGGCTGTTTTGGCGTCACACGGCACGGCAGGTAGGCAGTTATGCAACTGAATTATCGCCGTTTTGGAATGCGGGTGCACGTTCAGCCGATCTATTGATAAGAGTCGGTAGGAATGTACTTTCGTGACCCTTTGTAAACAGCGACCTAAGAAGACAAAGGCCTGGATATATTTTGGAGATGAGTGTTAAGTGAATAAGTTGTTAGATTTGATAGATATCAACATCATGTCTCCAAGTTGATCCCCGCGCGGGGTGTGCGCGCAGGAGTCGCCATCAATCTATGCGAGCGGTGGCCTGGCTGCCCGAGATGCCATGCAGCCCACCTACCCGAACCTATGGCCAGGCCGCCGGGCCTACAGACCCTATTAAAAACGCGGGAACTAGCCATTTTTCGAGGCTAGCTCTGCATCGGAAGGAGCAACGACTGGAGGCGGAAAGGAAGCTGCAGGACAAGGGGGGTCGCGGCGTCGTACTGATTGGATCCTGTATTCCAGTCACTTCTCGCAGATATGCATGCGGTCCCCCGCGAGATGCGATGAGACGCTAGCAAGGGTTCTATCCAACAGTATCCCGTATCTGTATATATCAAGGCTGTGGGGACCGTGTGCATTGTTACGGCCGGCAGCATCAGCCCCTGCAAGAAAATACAGGATCAGTGGAGCTGAAGCGGAAAGCCCTGGACGGTTCCATGCCGGCCTGTGGCCTAGAATTAGTAGACCGGTTTGAGATAGAGGGGCTGTTAGTACTTTATCCCCGCGGCCGTCGAGTGATCACGAGGTTGGGTTGATAAATAATGCACATACCGCTCCATTCTTGATAGAGTGTTTAGAAAGCTTTCCAAACTAACCAAGCACTCTATACATTAAGAGGCACCCTTAGCTATCGAGTATCCCCATCCGGATCGATCTACGATCCAACTCATACTTTCCAAGCACATCTCTTTCCTCTTCTATAATCTCTATCATACTCACAATGCCGGCAGACGACAAGGCCTCCGGCTCCAAGCCTGGCGAGTCATCCTCTGCCAAACCCGTTTATAAACTCATAGTTTTCGAGGATACCAGTCAAAAGAGTCTTAAAACTAAGACTACCGCCTCTTGGACCACTCATAAAAAGACCGCTGACACCTGGGTCGATCAAACCAAGGTTGAACGTGCCGTAAAAGAATCCGGTGCCTCTGACTTTTTTGATGTTTTCCTTAAACTGGGTCCTCGGAGACGAGAGATCGTCGACGACTACATCTCCACCTTGAATGAAACTGACAAGAGTGGAGATTATTCCGGCCCGTGGCAGGGAGAGTATCTCTTCCAGGGCGATGATGTTATCGACAAAAGGACTGGACTAAAAATAAGGACGCCGTTGATGTTTTGGCTAATCGTTAAGCGAATGAAAAAGGCCCCTGGTAACCCAAAGGGTATCCTGGTGGGTGGAAAGGACTCGAAGGATACCAGGGTAGAACTAAAAGACTCCAAGGACAGCAAGGACAACAGGGACAAGGATAAGGACACGTATGGCAAATCGGGGTCGAAAGACTCCGGTAAGAAGGATATGGATAGTATTTTAATGCAGCAGTTGCTTCAAGCATTAACTATGAAGAACACCGCTGATAACAGCATGAGCGGCATGGATATCCAATCTCAGATCCAAGCTCAAGTGCAAATGGCCATGCGACAGCAGAGCCAATTTCAACAAAACCAGGCACTCATGTTCAACCAGATGCCGCCTCCATACCAGGAGCCTCACCCCATGAACGCCCATAACGGGCTACCTTCCGTTCCGGTTGTGCCGGGAAACATGTATAACTCCCCATACAACATGTCTCCACGCCACTCCCCCGAACACTCACCCCAAATGATGCACAGTAGCTTCAACACTACTGGCTATGGCAACTTTTACAGCCAACCGGGCTTCTCTTCCAGCCGAGGTCGCCTTGAGCGCCTCCCAATCGATGAGAATGAATACAATGGCACTACACATCTCGATGCTATAGAGTCACCGAACTACCCACGTGGTGGCATCGGCTCGAGAAGACACAGCATCTCCATGGGATCCCACCCCTACCAAGATGAGATGCTTCGCGGACAACTCAGCGGGGGCTACAACCCAGCATACAATACCGGCTACGGCGCAGACATGAACAACATGTCGCAATGGCCCATGCGCACCCCGATGCAAATGGTTCCAAACCCAACCATGGACCTGGCCAAAGTCCGACAGATCCAGTCTTGGGAAAGCGCCGTATCCTCAGCCGACGAATCCGGCGACGAGATGCCGTTGCGAGATTCCGTGCCGCGAATCGGGAGAATTTCCCGCGCCGAAAGCATGCACAGCCACGGATCTCGCCAGCGAAGTCGCAGTCGCGGTGGAAATCGCCAGGTGATGATTGATTCCGGTGCCGCTGGCGGCAGAAGGAACTCGATCTCGCATACTGGTATGCATGGCGTCACTCATAATAAGGGATTTGGTATGACCGGTATACCGGACAATCACTCCGATGATATGACGCTTGGATTGGGACGCTCGGAGTCGAGAATGACTATCCACGGGATGGGTATCGACAGAAATGCAACGAGGACTCCGTTCCTTGGGCACAGATGACTGGTGGAATGGAGTTCCCTTACACTCTTTATATATTTCCTTTGTGGCTGCTTATGGCGTTAGGCGTTCTGGATGGTGAAAATGATGGGGTTCCAGCAAGAATACTAGCTTTGCATCCTAAGCCAAGAGCTTGGGACATTATATCTAAACGGTTTCTGTTGTATGTATTAGTACAGATTGATAACGAATTATGAAGAATTATTGTCCCTTCTTTCTCAACTAAATCACGCCTTTTGTCAAGGACCACGTAGAAATTTTGGCAT